CAAAAATAAATTATTTTGTTATTAAATCTAAATTAAATTACAATAAAAAAATTGAATTAAATAAATTATACAAAAACGTGAACAGTTAAATAGTTAATTTAATACTAATATCAATATATTTTTTAAATTTTTATGAGATATTCGAATTTATATTTTATTCAAACATAAAAGCATTAACGCTTTATTAAAACCACATAAAACCATGGTGTAATATCAATAGAGACAAAAAAATAAAACAAAACATTAAAATCAAGATGTGTCTCATTGCATTGCGCGAATATCCTTCTAATATATATATATGTATATATATTAGAAGGATACTTTTTATCATGTAGTTCTTTCTCTAAAAATCATCTTTAGATACGCTTCCAAATCCTTCTCTAAAACTTTGCTCTATAAAAACCTTGTTACTTGTAGTGTATAAAAGTATAAGAGAATTTAACATGCATTATTTCTATACTTGTATTAAATGTTTGAGGTTGCAGTGTTAATCAATTACAGGTGTTAGCATAAGCATGGGGTTACTTTTTCTCATAGCACTCATCTATGCATTATACGAAGTAATCAAGAAAACAAAGGCAAGGAGACGAAGAGAGAGGTTTTTTAAACGCAATGGTGGTTACTCCTAAAGCAACAAGAAGAAGCTGAACCATCTTTAGTTGATAGAACCATACTTTTTACGTCACGTGAGTTGGAGACGGCTACTGATCACTTTAACGAGAACAAAATTCTCGGCCGAGGAGGTCAAGGTACAGTCTACAAAGGTATGCTAGTTGATGGAAGAATTGTGGCAGTCAAGAAATCRAAGGTAGTTGATGAAAGCCAATTAGAGCAATTCATCAAYGAGGTAGTCATTCTTTCGCAAATCAGCCATCGGAATGTGGTCAAACTATTGGGGTGTTGCTTGGAGACTGAGGTTCCTCTACTAGTTTCCGAATTCATTTCAAATGGGACCTTGTACGACAGCATTCACAACGAGACTGTTGAGTTCCCAATTTCTTGGAACATGAGATTGCAAATTGCTACGGAGATTGCAGGAGCCGTATCTTACTTACATTCAGCAACTTCCATTCCAATATATCATAGGGACATCAAAACTACTAATATACTTTTGGATGATAAATATAGA